TCCTGCCTCCTGCGTCAGAGGCAGGATTAATTGGGCCGAGCGAGGCCAAACCCAGGCAGCCTTCCCACCGTTAGAAGCGCCAGGGAGAGCTTGGCCCTTTTCCCGAGGGCGCGTCCAGAGACCCCCTCAGCGACCAGGGCTGGCAGGCGTGGGCACAGGGTAATGCCCCCTCCCCATCGCACGCTGTCCCTGGTTTCACAGACCATCCTCTGCCGGCTTTAGGAAACCCTCGAAGGGAGGACCTGGGTCCTGGCCGGCAAGCGGGCGGCTCGGAACAGTGGCCTTTTCTCTCTTCCCTGTAACCCTTCTGGGCAATGAACCGCCTCAACAACACGGCCAACGGCTATGTTTTGACAACGACACTTAAGAGCGGCGATGATCATCATTGTGGCCCCTACACCAGGGACAAGGAAAAGGGCCTTCCCTGCCTTTTCATGCTCAGGCTCGGTCAGTGACTCTCCTCCGGGGTTTCTCTCCTGGCCCGGGGGGGGTCAGGTACCGCTTGCGCCAATCAATGAACCTTTTGGGAGCGGTTCCCAACGGTCTGCAGGCCACCCGGGGCTGGCAAGGATCTTCTGTCTGAACCACGTTGGGAAAGGGGCCAGGGGAACGTACCATGCCCCCCATTAAGTCTTTTAACTGGCCCCCTTCTTTGGGGTGAAAAAACAGGAGGGCCATGCCTGCCCCCCCCCATCAAGGCAAGAAGGCGCTTTGAATCAGCTAGTCGGGTTTTGCTCCAAAGCCTGAACTGCTTCTTGCTCCCCTTCCGTTCAGAGCGGAGTCCCCGGTGTCTCCTTTTCGTTGCAGGAAAGGAACTCCACCAGGCACTCGGCTTGTTGGCTGGACGCTGATAGATGGCGGCATTAAAGAGATGGCCTCACCTCGTTCTGCTCCCTTGGCGCTTCCCCAGCTAAAGCCAGCGCTTTTGACCCACTCCCTTTCCCGTTCATGGGGGGGGGAGGGATCTCCCCCGGTCGGGAATTGGCGGCCCTTTGCTCGCCCCACACCAAGTCTGGGAGCAGAGCACGGGGAGAAGGGCAGGGCGCGTCCTGTCAGAAGAAGAAAAGCTTTGTCTGCAAACCGGAGTGCGGAGGGGTTGGTCCTTCCTCTGTGGCTTTTCCCAAGGTCGGCAACTGGCGGCCTTTCTCCTGCCAGCCCACCAGTAGGCACAGCTACTTTGCTGTCAAGAAGAGGGATGTCACTCCATTTTCCTGGCAAATGGCACATCCCCCCCCCGGGACCTTTCCAGGTCTTTTGTCTCTTCCTCGTGAGGTGGGCGAGGGTAAGAAAGGGATAGATCCAAAGTCATCCCCCTTCCCCCGCCCCCAGGACCTTTCCAGGCCTTTTGTCTCTTCCTCGTGAGGTGGGTGAGGGTAAGAAAGGGATAGATCCAAAGTCAGTGGGTTTTGTGGATCATTGGGGACGGAGGGCCTGGCTCTCCCAAGTCTGAACCGGAGCAGCCCATGGTCTTTCATTCATTGGCCTCACACGGACAGCATCATCATTCCGCATCATCTTTCTCCTCTGGTCCTGCCTGGTGTCTTTTCATGGGTCAGCCAGAAGGAGCTTGGATCAGCTTTCCCTTCTGGAAAAACACACCTGCAAGAAGTATGCCACAAAGGGCTGAGCTTGCATTTTTCCTCCACCCTCCCCATCGCTTTGCCTTTTGTGTCATGACATTTAGATTGCAGCCCTGAAGGCGGGAGGTGTCTTGATGTTAATCTTTGTAAAACACCCTGGAAACTCTTTTCAGCCAAAAAGGAAGGCAAAACGCTTTAAGGAAATAAACAAACTCCTTCTGCAGCAACATCCCATTCCAGAAGTCTTACCTTCCATCTTCTAGGCTTCAGGTGGAGGTAAAGGGTAACCTCTGCCCCAATAAGACATTATAAAACTCTTTAAATTCCCAAGAATTACTTATCAACAGGTTCGTGGTGATGCTCGCAAGTGATACAGAGCATGAGCTGCCTCATTCTGGACCTGTGACCGTTTCAAAACAGTCTGCAAGGGCAGCCCCACATCAGGTGCATTAAGGTAATCTAATGCAGGTCATGTTAACAGCCAGAATAGCATGGGGATCTCTCTCTGTGTGTCCAAGTGACTTGCTACAGAGCACAACATGGTATGTTTGCAACACACAGCCTAACTTACATTAAAAAACCCTGTGGCCATCAGCAGACCTTTGACAGCCACAGCGTCTGTGAGGCCTCAGAGGCTCCCAGCCCCACCGAGTACTGCCCCCCCCAAACTTCACGCCACTGAGTCCGGTACTGTACAACCCTCCCTCCCTCTCTGCACCATCCAAGGTGAAACGTGCGCCACCACCGCAGATCCACGTGAAAGTGTGTTTCACAAGCAGAGGGGGCGGTCCTGAAATCCCCTTGCCGGTTCACGCCAAACCACATCAAAGCTCCTGCCTGCCACGTTTTGCCAAGGTACCCCCAGGCTAAGCCCCCCCCCTCGCCTGGCACCTGTGTTTGTTAAAGAGCTCAAAATGTTCCCAGTGCGCGTTGGCACCGCTGGCGAGAGGAGGCTCTGCCGGTGGGGAAAAGCTGGGAAGGAGATGATGACGGGGCAGAAGGACAAGCTCCCTTTGTGGGCTGAGCCCCCAGAACAGCTGCCCAGGAGCAGGCGCGGCAGGACAGCGGCCACGATCCGCAGCGAACAGAGCTCAACACCGACGGGAACGTGGAAACCAAAACACACAAGGGGGTTTCCAAGCAGGGGCCTCAGGTGGGGGGGGACCAGCGGGGAGGCATCAAGACTCTCGGGAGCCCCCCCAAGACGATCGGCTGCCAAGCCAGTGCAGACTTTAACCTTCGCCGCCTCGGTCACCTCCACCCACCTCCCCGCCCTCGCCACCCCCTCCGTCTAACTCGGGGCTCGCTAGCCAGGCACCCTCCAGATGTTTTTGACTACACGCCCCATCAGGCTGGGCCATGGGAGCCGACAAGCCAAAGGGGCATCTAGCCGGCCTCGCGTTTCCCTGTGGGGGGCTTGGATTGGCCCCCTCGCCCCCCAGCGGCCTTTCCTTTCGCCTCTTCCTCTCCAGCCGACAGGCCCAGAAGGCAGCCTCAGGGAGGGAGCGAGAGCAGGGCCACGCACGGGGTTTCACGGCTCAGGAGGGGAACTGGACCCACGTCACCGCCCAGCCCTCCAACCACGGAGTGGCCATGTTGCTCCTGGGAACGGCCAATGAACAAGGGCAGCCGGCGTTCGCCAAGGGCATTAAGGCAGCCTCCCCGAGGTGACCGGGAGCGTTGAGGCCAAGGGAGAGGACCGCCCAGGCAGGCCCACGTGGAGACCGGTCGCTGCAGGCTGCTGAAGAAGAACGGCCTTAGGAGAGGCCTCAGCCAGACCCTGGCAAGGAGCTTGTTTAACTGAGCAAGTGGCTCTGTGGGGCTGGGGCAGAAAGGGGGACCACAAAGCCCTTTGAGAGCCTGGAAACCACCCCGCCGAAGACCAAAGAGCCAGCGGCGGCAAGGCCAAGGGAGAGGACCGCCCAGGCAGGCCCACGTGGAGACTAGTCGCTGCAGGCTGCTGAAGAACGGCCTTGCTCCATCCGTTGGCAACCCTACAAGGCTTAGGAGAGGCCTCAGCCGGACCCTGGCAAGGAGCGTGTTTAACTGAGCAAGTGGCTCTGTGGGGCTGGGACAGAAAGGGGGACCACCAAGCCCTTTGAGAGCCTGGAAACCACCCCGCCGAAGACCAAAGAGCCGTAAAAACAGTTTGCAAAGCCCGAGGGATCTCACGAGGGGGATGCTGCCAACGGGGACGGCAGGCCCCTGCGCAAGGCGGTTCAGGGCGTGCCCCGTCCCATCTTCTGGGCGGCCACACCCAACCCGCCAACCGCCGGAAGAGGAGCCCTCCGTGGGAAACCGCCAACGTGCCTTGACCTGAGAGGCTGCCTGCTCAACGCCGGCACCAGCCAGTGCTTCGCTCGTGGCCCGCACCCGTGATGCCCGCAGCCCCAAAGGGCCGGCCGGGCAATCCCAAAAGTTTTTCTGGAAAAAAACCATAAAAACAGGCAAGCGGGGAAAAGAGTACACTCTGTGCTATCCTCCACCACGCCCGGATATGAAAGGGGAATGAAAGGGGCCTTGGAACTCCGAAGACAACTCTCTCTTGTGTGTGTTGCCGGGCTCCCCGGTTCTGCATCGCAGCTGCTCCCCCAGGGCATTTCTGGTTTGGGGAGAGAGAGAGCGCGAGCAGGAGGGAGGGAGGGAAGGAGGGAGGGCAGCAGCATGAAAGCCAGCGAGCCAGCCACAGACACGGGTTCACACGGCAGCCTGGTCAGTCTCTGCTTCTCAGGTTGCACTTAACTTATTTATTGATTGGTAAAACGGTCACACGCACACAGAGAGAAAGCGGTTAAACGGAAGGGGAATGGGGGGGCACGGGGCGTCTCAGCTTTGGATTCCTTGAGTCCTTGCATGGGTTCCTTCCTCGAGGGGGGGGGCAATCCGGAGAATCATAGGGAGGAGGCCGAGGGAAGGGAGCAAAGCCAGAACCCAAGATCACACACCAAGACGGGGTTTGAGGGAAGGAGAACAAGAGAGAGAGAGAGAAACCCAAAACGGGGGCCGAGCGGGAGGCTGGAATTCAAGGAAGCGCGGCTCTCCACGTCGGGGGGGGGGGAGCAGCCCGAGTCTTGTCCCTCATCAAGGTGGCTTTTAAGGGAGGGAGTTGAGGAGGTCTTTGAGGAAGCCATCAGGGTCGCTGATCTCCGACAACAGTCCTGGGGAACAGAGCGAGGGAGGCGTCACCACCGGCAGCCTTCTCCGGAGGGAGCCCTTTGCGCCAACACGGAGTGGAGGCAAATGTGCCACCCCCACGCCCCCCGGTCCACAGAATCAACCCTGGGCGGAGGCGGTCAAGGGCCAGAGGGAGTGAGGTCCTCAGCGGTTGGCAGGAGGGCCTTCGTGGGTCGCGACTGGCCCACGGCCTCCTCCGCCGGCATCAGCTCCTCAAGGCTGCACCCTGCACCACTTAATTTGATGCCCCCCAGAGCATCTCCATCAGCTTCTCTCCTGCCTGCACGGTGGTGCCCGAGCGACCCACGTCGGGGACACGAGCCTCCCCTTGCGCCCACTCTACCCCCCACCCACCCAGCACTCACCGGCCACGTCCAGAAACTCCGAGAAGGTCTCCACGGGCATGAACTCCTCCTGGAAGGTCTTGAGCGCCTTGTCCGCGGCCTCGTGCATCGGCATGTCGTTGTGGCGGATGTACTCGGCCAGAGAGCAGGACCAGCCCCCCTCGGTGTTACTCGTAGGCACCTTCTGGAAGGGGGAAGAGGGGGCAGGAATGAGCACCTTCGCGTGGCTTTACAAGGGTCAAAGATCAGAGGGAGGGGTGGGGGAGGGGAGCCACCCAGCCCCTTACTTTGAACATGTTGTAAATCAGGTCCACCAGGGCCCAGAAGAGAAGACCAGAGCGATAGGCGGAGTAGTCCTTCACCGCTTTCTCCGTCAGCCTGGCGCGGAAGAGAGAAGGGCGAAATGGAATCACAAGCCGCCACCCGCCCCTTCCCTTCCACTGGGGGAAAAAATCCATCCGAGAAACGCCTCAACTGCCCGTGGACCATGCAATGGGGCAACCCACGGATGAAAGAGCCACATGGAGTGAACCCACATGGAAGCCGAGAACATAATACCCCCCCCTTCCTTTCCGCTGGAGCAGTGACTTCAAGCCATGGGGGCAAAAAGAGCCTGGCGCCACGTTGCTGATTTTTCATAGCACCCTTCCAATATTCGAGGCACAGGTCAACATCCCTGATGGCAGCAGAAGCCCCGAGAGCAATCAGGACACCGCAGGCCTCCAGCCACCCCCCAGGAGGCGAGGGGGCCATTCTAGCTCCGTCACAAACCATCCGGAAGGGCCGGACCGGGCTGCTCAAGGAGCGCGGAAGGCGGGGCGCCACTCACCGGCTGGCCCCTGCCGGCGACACCACCCGGGCGTGGGAGATCACCAGCAGCCGCTTGAGAATGTCGACGCGGATGGCCTTCCACCTCTCGGGGGGCAGGATGTGAAGGGCCAGGACCGTGTAGTAATGGGGCCCGTCCACCTCAAAGGCCGCCTCCACCCACTTCTCCTTGGGCTGCTCCAAGAAGCTCTGGAGGTTCTTCTCTTCCCGGGAGGTGGCGCGCGTTCTGGAAGGGCAGGGAGAGAAGTTACAGAAAGAGAGAGAGAGAGAAGCACCAGAAACCTTACTTTGGTCCAGCTGCCCCACATTAAATTTTTTTTTAAAAAAACCCAAGTATCTGGCTGTTTCTTTCTGACGGATTTTTGCCACTGTGGGGGCAAGGGGGCCCCCCAGCCTGCCAAAGCGCTCCACCCTCGAGCTAGGAAGAAGACCGAGCCAGCCTGGGTGTTCCTCTCGAGACCCAGGAGAGGGGCCACCCAAGCGACGCCCGGCGGGAAGGGTCTGCCGGAGGGCTCCCTTTGCTGACCAGCAGGCCAGCCCAGAGAGGGAGGGAGGAGGGGACGGAAGAGAGAGACGATACTGACGTGTTGAGGACATAAAGCACCGTGTGGATGATGTACGGGATGAGGTGGACGTTGCTCTCCCGCCCGCCGCCGCCCGTGTCCACGCTAAACGACTGCTCCATGGCGAACCGGAGGAAGAGCAGCTTGGTGTCATGGATGTTGAGCTGGTAGGTGGGCTCGCGCTGCCCTGTGCACTCTTGCAGGTACGTGTTGTGCCTGCAAAGCGGGACACGTGTGTGTGTTTGTGTGTGTGTGTGTGAGAGAGAGAGAGAGAAACTCCCCCCCCCCCCGCCCCAAAGCAGGCCATTCCGGATGGCAAGGCTGCCCAAGACCCCCCAAACCCCAAGGGGGGGGGGCAGCTCCTCGGCCTTACCTGGCCAGGCAGGTGGCAAACGCCGACTCCGGGACGTGGGGCCCCCACACGGGCAGGAGGCCATTGCACTTGGTGTTGGCGTTCTGCAAGGCGGCGCTTTCCCACTCCTCGCGCCCCCGCGCCAACCTGTGAAAGGAAGAGCAAGGCTGCATCCAACCGGAAGAGCCCCGAGATTTCACCCCGCCGAGCACCGCTCCCCGCCCCCCGGGACCTAACTTTCCAGGGCCCGCACAACGCCTCTCCCTTTACGGATCCAGGGCTCTTCCCCCCCCCACTTCCACCTCTTCTAGGATCCCACTGAAAAGCAGGTCTGTTCTCTTCCCGATTCTTTGGGAAAAGGTAACCCAACTGCCTTCTTCGCTGGTCAAGGCGTTTGCAAACTATTTTTACAGCTCAACTTCTAACTGCCTGGCAGCTGCCCCTGTCGGATCCCGCGCCTGCCCGCGGAGCCTCGCGGGGGGGGGGGGGGGCTCACCTGACGGCCGCCAGATGGCAGTCATAGTGGACGATGTTGAAGTGGGAGACGGTGCTGTAGCCTTGCTGCTTCCGAGGCTTGTTCTCAAACTCCTCCAAGGCCACTCGCTTGGTGAAGGTGTAAATGCCCAGGACTTTGGTCGGCTGCGGGGAGGGGGGAAAAAAGCCGACGCCAGGGCCGTGTTTACAAACAGGGTGGGCTGAGATGCAAGACAGTTAGCTGGGCTGAGGACCAGTGGCCCCTCAGCTCGGGGGCGGGGGTAGAGAGAAAGACGATGGGGACTGGAGTTCATCACCAGCTGGGGGAACCTGGTGAGCAGGCACCCAAGGCCTCTCCTGGCTTCCAAGACCAACAAGGAAGCGATGGGTGCGCACCCAGGCCAGACTCTCCGCAGGAGTCCCGCGGCCGGCTCCACCTCTGGACTCCCCCCCCCCAGCTTTGCACCCGGGCTGATCCCTACCTGGAACTTGTAGCCCTCTCTGCAGATGCAGCACGTCAGCCCCGGCTCCTCGATCAGCTCCTCCATCTGCTTCAGGAGGGCGGTCTTGGTCACCACCTGCCCCTTCTCGTTGGTCTGGAAGGCCAGGCAGAAGGGAGAATCGTGAGGAGGGGAAGAGGGTGAGGGAGGCTGGTGGGGCAGGGCCCCCCACCCCACCCGGGGCTGTCTGTCGCCTCTTCCCCCCCCTCACCGTCATCCCCAGGGTGCCCAGGGCCTTCTGGCGCATGGCCATGGCCAGGCGCTTCTTCTCGGCCCGCGTCTCCCTCCGGGCCGCGTCGATCTTCTTGTTGACGTCCGGGTGCTCCCGCAGGGCCTCCAGCAGGTTCTCGGCCAGGGTCCCGATCCCTTCATCGCTGGAGACTTGCTCCAGCTTGTGCAGGTTGGTGATGGAATCGGTCCCAATCAACACCTGTTTGGAGGAAGGAGCGAGTGGGTTTCGAGGCACACCACCCAGTGGGCAGAGGGGGGGGGCGGCAAGGGGAAGGAGGGGTTTCCTGAGGGCGGTGAGAGGAGAGTGCAATTCCGGCCCTCTTGTTGAAGCCAACCCCACGGCCCAGCTGCAGCCCCCCAACCAGCACCTCCTCCTGCACACGAGAAGCGGCGACGAGGCCTCCCTCACCTGGGTGGCCGGATGCTGGGTGGCCAGCCCGCGGAGCAGCCGGAGGATGAAGGGCAGGGCCGGCCGAGACAGGAACTTCTTCCACACGTCGGCGTCCAAACTGGGCAGAAAAGGAAGGGGAGGAAGGGTGGTGAAGCCCACGGCCGAGGCGGCCCGACCGGAGGGGGCACCCCAGGGCCGGAGACCCAGACCCCCCCTCCATGCCCCCCAGCCTCTTACTTCTTGGCGCTGGGTATGTGCTTCTTCATGTAGTCCAGGGCGCTCTGGGTGATCCCCCGCTGCAGGATGAGGTCCTTCAGGAGGTGCCCGTTGCTGTTGTTCTTGATGCCGGCCGCGATCTTGCAGAAGCAGTCCAGGAAAACCTTATCGTCCCCGCTGTGCTCCTCGTCGTACCTGGAGGAGAGAGGAAGGCCAGAGGGGAGTACTGGGGGGGGGGTCGCCAAGGGCTGAGTGGGCCCAGGATCGTTCTCTCTCTCCAGCCCAAGCGGTCCACTCCCTTTCGAGAAAGAGCAGGCGGCCTGCAGGCCGGCTAGATTCTGGCCACCACGGCTGCCTTTTGCGGGAAAGAACTCGTCCAGGACGGGGTACCTGACCACCACCACCCTTCCTCCAAGAGAGGAGTTGCAAAAGACGAAATCGCCAAAGGACCACCTGAAAGCCCAAAACAAGGTTTTGCCCCTCACAGCCGAGCGCCGATGGCTGAAGGAATGCACACGATGGATGTCCTC